ACATGCAGAATAAAGCCTCTGGTTGTGCTGTGGCTCGTCTTCTCCAGCGGATTGCCTCATGAATATTTCCACTGTTTGGGAGTGGTGGATTTCAACCCATTGCTGCTTTCAGAAAAAGGTTCTTTTGAGAGAGGGGGAGAAAAAAAAGCCTTTCAGAGTTCAACATGCCAGAGTAAATGTACTGCATGTCACCTGATAGTATATTTTTAGCTGTAACACGGCTGATGATGACAGGAGGCATGAAGGCCAGAGGTTAGATCCTGCTGTACACTCATGCTCTTCACTCCGAGCACCTCTCTAACCAGTAGAGACGAGATAACAGTTAACAAAATCATTTCACATGCACAGCAGATTCTCTGGGCTCAGGCAATTTTGCTCTGCCTGCCACCAGTGGCACTTTTCACCGAGAGACGTGCTTTGAGTAATTCAAGCGAGCACAGAAAAGACAATTTTTGCCAGGAGCCAAAAAAGAATCAAAAGAAACAGACAAACATCCTTTTTCTTTTTTTCAAGCAAGCTGAAGGTTGCAAAATCCATCTTGTGTGCTATTTCTGAACTGATTTCCATATCCATGGCCACCTGAGGGAGGTCAGGCCGCTCCAGCCAACTTCCTCACAGGGAGAGGAAGTAACAATGACAGCGACATTAACCGTCTTCCACCCTTTCCAACACCCACGCCACTCACCCTCCTCTGTAACACCAAGAAACTCACATGCATAGGGAAATTAATCACCATATAAAAAAAATAGAAAAACCAACAATATCATTTCTGCTTTTACTTCTGTCTATCTCTCTTTTTTATTCTTCTGCTTCAAAGCCGGTGTCTCTCTGCTGTGCTCCAGGGTTAATTAACATGAACCAAACAGTGAATGATCAGAGAGAATGGAAAATCTCCAAAGGTTAAGTGTCACATGGGAAACGTGTTGTCAGAAGAAGAGGAGGAGGAGGAGGAGGAGGAGGAGGAGGGCAGTTTTTTTTCCACACGTTCAAAAACCAAATGAGAGAGAAGTGGTGCAGAGGGAAGAAATTTGTAGACACCTTTTCAAAACTTTGCATTTCTCCTGTCAGAGCTTCACCGTGCGGGTTCAAACAATATCTGCAATTCCGTGACATCCTGATGAACAAAAGAACTCTGCAGTTTTCTCTAACTCGCTGATCTTTCAGTGGATAAACTCAGCTTCTCTCACAAAATCATTATGCTTCGCTTTAGAGAAGTACACAGTTCTAGAGATGAGCAGAAGATTGCAGAAAAAACCCACCACATCCATCACACAGTTAATCACTGCTTTTAAAGACCTACTCATTGAAATTGCGTCTCCTCTTGGTTTATCCACCAGAGGGAAGAAAAGAAAATGACTTCATGATCCACAGATATCCTGGACGTCATGTCTCGCAGGTGAAACAGTGTGAATTCTCTTTGTAATAATTAACATGGGCTCCTCTTCTCTCCCTGTGGCTTGTCGCTGACATTTGGTTCATGCTTGAGTGTCTGCCTAGCTGATTTCAATATCTATTGCATGAAGGTGAGGCTATGTTTGTGTGTGTGTGTGTGTGTGTGTGTGTGAGTCTGTGTGTGTGTAGGGTCCAGTGGCTAGTTCCACAAGGACATTGGTGATGGGGTCTGCCTGAGATGGGATTAAGCATCATGCTAATATGGATTAGGGACCCACTCATTCAATCCCCACCCACCAACAGGTTAGAGGCTGAAAGCTAAACGCTGCAACACAAATGAGTCTTGTCGGCCTGTTTGTGTTCTTGCAACACTGCATTATGCAAAGGGTCATATCTCACTCACTTCTCAACACATATTTTGACAATTCCCAAATTTATCATCCTGATCTCTATACATTCTGCACACAGTGACACACCACGGTGATTTACACCATGCTCCGAGGATGAAAACACCTCGGAATGGTCACCTCGTCTGCTGCTGCTACAAGCCTTATTTTACATTATTACATTATGTATGCAGGCTTGAGTATGGATAATGGATGAATCTAAAGCAAAGCAGTTTAATTACTCGCCATCATTCTGTCTCACCTAGATGCAGAGCACACATCTTATTAGCCATGGTGTAAATAAACATTAATATGCCACCCTGATGAAGACCATCCTCCCTCTTACACTTCCTGGTATATTATCATCATCGCAGCAAAGTACACACACCCAAACTGATCCGCTGGCATGTGCAAACAACGGACGGGCCGCTGAAGCCAGGGCCAGACCATTACAAGCACTTCACAGAAAATTATCATTAGTGCATCTGGCTGGAGGCCACAAAGCCCCATCAAAAGATTAAACTGTACACACACAGTATGCACACATACATCCTGTATGACATGAAGCAGAAGCCTTGCATCCAGTGTCAGACATTTGATCAAAAACAAGTGGATCACTACAATCTCAGCGCGGCTCTCTGACAGAAAACTCCCTCCTGTGTGAGTGGCGTGTGGCAGAATAGGCTCAGGGGATGAGAATGGTGTGTAGAGCAGCTGTAGGAGACAGTGGATATATCGAAGGTAGAAAGCATGTAGGTTAACCAGCCACAGGGTATTCTTCATCCCCTCAGCACATGGAAATGGAGAGGAGGCTTCAAGCAAAGAGAAAACTCAGCATCCCGTCCAGCCCTGAGCTGCAAATACTGCTGATCTGATAAACTACATAAAATCTAGTCATGTCTCCGGGCGTGCTTTTTAACAAACTGGATTGTGACTCGAACCAGACGTGATTGATTTAATGTGCGGCTAATAAACTGCACACTGTGTGTACATTCTGTGTGAAACAGGCTGAAATGAAGCAGTGCACTTCGTATACAACCTTGTTGAAATCCTCAAGATGACAGAAGCTGAACTCTTCAAAGACATAAATTGTGTTGCATGTCCACAAAGCTCTTTTATAAACTTCTCGATGTGTCTTTTTTTTTCTCTCGTCTGCAGATGGACTGACTGCAGCCAGAGCCTGAGAGGAGACAGGCCTTTTTCTGCTCTCTTGTGTTGTTTCAATCACCAGTCTGCCGCACAAAGGAGGCAGCCTGATGGCATGACGAGTGCACATCGCTCGTCTTCCTGCGCTGTTGTCTCAGTTTGAGCCTCATGAAAGGAAGCGGGCCTAACGCTGCCAGAGGCAGAGGATCCAGCTCTGCGGTCTGAGCGGGGAGAAACATCAGCAGAGCGCCATTCTTCAGAAGGAGATGTCCTTCATTGTGGTGCCAACTTTCCCTGGGGCGGCTACGTTGAGACACAGCCTCTTATTTACCATATACAGGATCTGTGCATGGCCTTAATGAGCTAGGATTTGCAGCATCACAGAGACAAAGGCCACGCTTTCACTGAGAAGCTGTGGTTTTGCTGAATTAAATAATGATAATTAAGAAAATATTAATCAAACTCGGGCTCTTGCGGCTCTGAAGATGTGTTGAGGGAGCAGGTCTTCCAGCTGAGCCTGTAGGAGTTCTCATTTAGGAGTATGCCTGCGACCTATAGAGCTGCAGGCAAACACACACACAGATGCACACACACACACACACACAGATGCACACACACTCACAGATGCACACAATTAAAAGCAGACCTTGGTGGCCTACTACTCTATAATTAAATACCCTTTGGTGCTCTGCACAGAAATACTGAGCCAGGTTCACACGTGTCAAGGAGAGAGAGGGAAAGATGAGAAGGAACGTTAAGAAGCTGTCGTTTCTCTAAGTTGCGAGTTCTGCTCAATGTAATGAATTAATAAAAAGCACAAACTAATACCTTCCCAGTGTGCAGTTGGTATGTCTGGCGGGCCGGCAGCAGCTCTACAGCTGTACTGTGAAACTTTAATGCTGCTGGATGCCTGCAGCGCCGCCCAGGCTTTGTCTCTGAGGTGAAGCGAGGAGGTGGGGGGGGGGTTCCACATGTTCGATCTAACTGGGACAAGTGCTGGAAAAACAGAACGAGATTTGTCTGACCTTTAAAACCACCAGGACACAGTGAACCAACAGCTGGGACTGGTCACTGGTTCACTGTTGGTATATTAGATTATTAAGATAAAAAAAAAAAAAGATCTCATTGATATATCCTCAAATTCAAACGTTACTGGGTGATTATATGGTATTATTCTTCACCTTTTAGGCTCGTGAGTGATTGTCATTTGGCTCTAGTTGTTATGGTAATGCGAGGTATTCCATCTCCTTCCCAGAATGCTCTGTGTTTGACATTCATGGGGTTAAAGTCCTCTGAATGATGAAGTGCCAGCGTTTGGGACAGTAAATTGCATCGTTTCAATCGAGAGGAGAGTTCCCCTTGGGTTTGCTGCAGGTCCCTGTGGGCTGGCCTTGAACAGAACAGCATGTTGTACATCCATATAAAAAGGGAAAAATATGGTGCTACTTTCCTCTTTATGATGCAGAGATTAATCTGTCACCATATTCACGCATAAATCCCACTTCCTTCTTTGAAAAATACTGTTTTACCTTCTTTTACACTATATTTTATTTTTTTATTGCCAATAAACATAAACCATCACAAAGGGCTAATGTTCTCATCAATATTATTACAAAATGATCATAAATCCAGCGCCTTGTTAAAAATTTATGCCATTTATCTCCCTAGCTACTCAACCAGTGAAAATATTAGACAGAAGCATTATTTTATCAGGCAATTTCTCCCCCAATAATAGATGATCTGCTTTCATATTTGAGTTACAGTACACCACTTCATTTTCTTTAGATTATTGGGTCCGTGTTTCCCCCTCACATCCTCTTCCTCATCACTGCGTAGATCAGCAGTACTGCTCTTGCCTTTTGGGGCCATTTTTTCCTTATACTTCAGTAGAAATGCCTTGACAACACTGTGGTGGTTACTTCTCCATCCTGAGAGACCACAAACTAAACAGCAGAAATACACTGTATAGATGCTTGTTTAGTGGTTATGCAAATCATCGTTGCCAGAGGTAAAATTAACATTTTTAATTAAAATATTAGCACCAAACAAACACAGAAAAACACACTAATGATTAAATCATCTTGATGGAACCTCAAAGTGGAAAATGAGGAAGATTTATTTGTATGAAAAGATGCTGCATGGATCAAGAGACTGTATTCATAAAATCATGAATCCTTTTACACACATGGAGTTTTAAATTTCACAGCAGTAATTTAAACTACGAGTTTTTAAATGTCAAGATGACAAGAAACAAAAAACATTATTTTTATCTTGTGTAAATAAAATATCTATAGTACTTCGATCTTTTTATTTTCACTTTACTTACGACTTCTAATTAGCAGGAAAAGCATACAATGAAAACAGCAACTGGAGATGAAATATTTCATTATATTTAAACTTTTCTGCTTTTCATCACAGGCATCAGATGTTATGAGGCCACACAGACGGGCTGGAGCCTCCGACTGCTGTTTTTAATGCTCCTACAGCGCCCTCTAGTGGAAAACTATGGAAACACTAAGTAAGACCAAACTAAGATGGCTTTCATACTTCAACAATGCAACTTCATTTCCAGTTTGTTCTGACAAACATAAGCTGTAATACAGATTCTTCATATAGCAAAAACGTTATCCTCTTGAATGTTGCCTTTAAGTGTGTGTGTGTGTGTAATAACTGGGATGGGCTTTAGCCGCAGAGTTTCCTCTTAAGTGTGATATTCACCTCTCCAGTGTGGAAAAGTGAGACCCTTTTGATACTGATGATTGATTTCTACTGCTCTGGTCCACACAGGCTGAGCATTGCCTTCTGGTAGTCTCCCTTGGTGTGTTCCTGCAGACACAGAGCAGGTTAGAGGAGCTGCATGACAGAGCAAGTCTGTAAGTCAGTAATGGATCTAAGGCCGGTTGAATTATTCATTTACCAGAATAGTCCTTTGCAGAGTCTGTCCAAAGTTGGTCTTGAATTCGGAGCAAATCTTCTTCAGGTCCACCTCGCAGCGTGACACAATGATTCTGGTCACCATCTTCTCTTTGGCTCCTTTGCTCTGCGCAGACGAGCACAAGTCAGCACTTACTGAAGTCGTACACGTTCTATACTTAACTACAGCAGCTGATGCAACGCTGCTGTAAGATGACTTTTTGCCAACTTTGGATTCTGTGATCCTGAAGCAAAATGTAATTTTCACAAACAGATGTACTTCTTACATTTGTTCCGGAAAAAGAAAGAAAGAAAGTGTGGGCTTTAAAAAAAAAAGCCAAGTTGCAACTGGAGGAAAGAGAAGAGCGCTGTAACTACCTTCATGGCTTCATTCAGTCTCTTGGCAAAGTACAGCTGTTTGTTTTCAAAGCACTGAACTGAAACAAAATAAAACCAGAGTAAATATACACAACAATACAATTTGTATATTAACTATATAATATGAATATGGTGATGACCAATTTAAAACATAATTTTCATCTATTAAAATTACAATTACTGATACAAGATAAATGTACCTAGCACCAGAAAGGACCTTTGCAAGTCTCCTTTGACTTCCTTCACGATACTCTCCTGCATGTCATAGGGGCTGTAGCTCTTGTATCTCTGAAACACTAACAAGCAGATGATGAAGGCATTAAAACAAAGCAATAACCAACACTTAATGATTCCACATGTGAACAGGGTGTGGCACCTCTTTGCAGGTGTGGCACACTTCTCTCAGACATGATGGAGATCCAGGTCGCCACATCCGTTCCTCTATTCTTTATCCCAGCCTCGTAGAGCGCCTGAGTTAAATCAACAAAACACCAGTAAACAAGTCTGCAATGAAAATAACTGGTTCAACAATTATTGTTAAATTAACTCTAATTTCTGAATGTGTGTTGTTGTTGCCGTAGATTCCCCATCATTTAGTTTGGTTAAATAAAAACAACTCCTTATTTTCATATATAGGGGTAAAGTGGGACACTGGCCAAACACATGACACATATTTTAAGAATAGTCCAATGAAGTCAATAAATTGTTCATATTCAAACAGTTTCTACATCCAACTTGAATCAAATAACCATCATAACATTGTGGTTTGGATAAAACAGTGTAAAGAGATGAAGGACAACAGTAAATCTTCAAAATAAATATTTATTGTCAGGATTATAACAGTGGAAGCCTGAGGTTTATTTACAATATCAATGTTTGGAAAGTCTTTTCCTGATCAAAACAATGAACACATTAACATTTCAATGATGCTGAATATTGTATATTTTATTATAAAATGTAAACACTTAAAATTAATTAGTTAATCTATCCAGACAAAGAGAAAATGGCAACTTACTCTGGCATCTAGATCGACCTTTTCAAAGTCTACAATAGAGGATGGTTCAGCTCTCTTGGTCTGCGCAGGAATAAAACATGACTCAGGTCAGTTTCAACATGCAGTTTTATTTAATGCACACAGTATAATGACAGATGTTGCCAGATCTCACCTGCACCAGAGCCAAGAGCAGCTTAGCAAAATTCCCAGAGGTGTCACCTGCGACATCTTTATCCAGATCCTTCTTAAACACTGTGGGGAAACAACATTTTCATTTTAGATTCAGCTCCATACCCACAGCAAACACATAACTCTTTGAACACCGGGTATAAGACAAAAGTTTAAATAAAAATTTGCTTTCATATTCAGAATTTATTTCTACATTATCCTCATATTCTTAAATATCCTCCTCTTCTCTGTGGCTAAGTATCTTCCAATATCAGCTCTAAGGCCCTCAGAGCAGAATCATTTGCTCATGTTGTAGCAGAAGTGACCAACACACTGTGATGTGTAGGAGTTAGCGACACAGTGAGAGAAAATATGAATAAATGTTATAATAATCTGAAATAACATTGTACACAATGCCACACTTACAGAGGGTGCAGACAGCAGGTGCAGCAAGTGATTCTGTCTCTAAAGGACATACACTGTAGCATGTGGACACAAAGTTGCTTCATTTTTCTTTTGGTACAAAATGTGTCACTTTGACCTGAGCTCCACATTCAGAGTTAAATGAACTTACGCTCTTTGTAAACCTTCTTGATCTCCACCAGCTCATCGTTGCTGCGTGAGCACAAAATCTCAATCAGCGTTTCCTCATCTGTTCCTAAACCCTGAAGAGACAGAAATCTTCATTACACACGTCTCTCAAAGTGACACACCACCTATCTTTATATGTCTCAAGAAAAAAAGGCATGTTTTCTCATTTCCACTAGAGGGCAGTGTAATCCTTCAGTGTGATTCATTGACTCCACGTCCCTCACCTTGATTGATCCTCTGATTTCTGAGGCATCATATTGGGCCGTGCTCCTCATCAGTCCAAGGATCACTGTTTCCAGGGAACCAGACAGCGCCCCCTTCAGGGCTGAGATCATGTCCTTAAAACAAATGGAACAGTGTTACCAGATGGGACTGATGTGTCCCGGCACATGATCAGAGCTGTGCAGGGTTTATCCCACGTCCCGTCTGTATATACAGTACCTTCTTCGCCCTCTTTTCATATGCAAAAGCGATGTCTCTTCTTTGAGAGTAGGTCCGTTTTGTTAGGACGTCAATTATGGTCTGCTCGTCCACTCCTAATGAACAAGAGACAAACAGACACATTAAGTGAGACATGAGTGATGGAATTCAACCTCTTAATGTCTTCATGAAACTATATCGAAGTTATTTTGATGAAATTACAGTAGAATTTGGAAATAAAACATGAGTTACAAGGAATTTGATATTAAAACTAATCATCAGCTAAAGGTGCTGCATGATGCTCAGTCAAAGTTCTGTTTTTATATATTTGTATGCTGTATACACTGCAAAACATTTAGCACACAAAAGATGCTTCAAGATAAAACACTTGACAAATATTTAGGATTAGATTTAATGAACTATTTAGTAAGAAAAATATTCTTACTCTTGCGGAGCACTGAGTTAAAATGTTACCTGGCTATAACTCCACATAGCTGAACGTGGACTTAGTCAGACAGTTCACCAGAGTTAGATGACTGATGGAAGCGTGTGTATCAAGTCTGCACTGTAGCTGATGCCATTAGACTTGAGTAGTTTTAAGAGGAAGAACAAGATGCAGTATAGAGTATCACAGGCTCAATTCAACATGGTCGCAAGGTATTTCCCACTCACGCCCTCTCTAGAAAAGAAAAATCTCTCCACACGTAACTCATTTGTCACTACAACAAAATGGTGGACTGTCAGAGGGTTGGCGGTCAGACTGTTGCCAACAGCTCTCAGCCAGGGTCCAGAACAATGCTCTGCCAACACTGAGGCACAGACTTGGAGATGTTCCCAGCACGGTCAAAAGATTTTAAGCCAGGATGCTGACTCACAAATACCAGCCACTGGAGAGAAGCTTGCAGTACCAAGCACTGAATCTGTTTTTGAGAGCCATGCACAGTTTTTATAGTCTTGCCTTTGGTTTTGATGGCCGTCTCGATTCTGGCAGCATCTCTGTCAGGGTCAAAGTCCGTTGCAGGGACCACAGTTGGGAACTTGGGCTCTTGGGTCTGAGGATTCAGAGTCGAAAAGGTAAAAACATTATCAAACAAACAGTATTCTGTGTGTGTGATGCGCTGTATATTTCCTGAGATATATATTGGACAAAAAGGAGAAAAAAAAAAAGTGGCATTACCCCAACGTTGAGAGACAGTTGTCCCAGGAACTCTGATACCATAGCCATTCTGACGGTCCTGAAAAAAAGATGACAGAACTGTCAACACACAATCCACTCTCACTGTAATCGGATCAGTTGTCTGAGTTGAAGGGGTCATGTTTGTTTTGCCTGAAGATGTTATCACCACTAAGGCTGTCTTCTAAACAGAGGCACAAGTCTGAATGACTTCATTCATTAAATCAGTGACGCAAATCCTCAAATGGTCTTGATCCATTTAATCAAGTTTCTGCTGTCGTTTTACATTTGGAGCAGACTCTGCTTTATTGTTCAGATTCTACTGACACAACACTAATGTTCAAATCCCCTGTTCAGCATGACTCACATTTTCTAAAGTAACCCCAGAGACACACCCTGGAAAAAGTGCTACCAGAAAGCAGACTGGTTTGTTAACTGAGTGCATATGCACAGTGAAGAGCAGGAATTCTATCTGTTTTTATACTTACAGAAAACTAGAAAAAGCACAAACACAGCACAAGAACAGAAACTGAACTGAAATCATGTGGAAATCATCATATGACTCATGACTTTGTCAAGTTAATCTCAGTGAGACATAAAGTAGTTCTAAATCAAAACATCAAATCAAACTAAACTTACCTAAGGTGGGAAAGTTGAGATGATACAGAGATGTGTCCAGGCGATGTTTAAGTGGGATGGGTGTGGATGCTTTAGCTTTTCATACATACAAAGACTTCCCCTTTTCACCGCCCCCAGCTCCGACAACCTCATGACTCTAACCTTTTCCACTAGAAGCTCACGAGAGGGAAGCTTTGTTCAAGTTTGACAACACACAAATGAATGTGAGTGACCAGAGCTCTGTGCCTTCAGGAGATTATTAAAGCCATCTCAAAACCAGATTTCATAGTCCAGAGATAATAACCAAACAAAGATATGAACATTATTTTTTTACAAAACATTTTAATTGATAAAATATACAAAACAATACAAAAAGTGTCGATTTTTACATTGTAGAAAGTGCTTCACTATAAAGTCATAAAGTACTTCCAGTGTGCAATCTTACGTGGTTGGTGGTTTCCCTTCCTCTGATTTACCTATGATGTCCATCAAGATGTTAAATTGACTTCTGAACAAGCTTTTTAATATACTTGTTACGCTTGGCCGTGCGTTTACTTTGTTTGTTCTTCACATTCCCTCCTGCATTCCTCTTTTGGCTCTTCGACTGACCAGCTCCACGGCTGCTGGCCTGTGTTGACCCATCTCTCGCCGTCTGTTGAATAAAGGAAGAAATTAATTTGCTAATCTGATGATTAGTCAGAGGCAAAATACATGACAGAAAACTTGTTTTATTGACAGCTGTGTGTTGAGCCAAAAGATGAGTTAACGTCTTCACTGAGTGGAATTTTAGACAGGCATGTTGTGAATGTGTCACTGTCTACATCAACAAACCACACTGAGCTGTTGCTGAAATTATTACGTTCTCTATTGTTACTGTTGTTAGTTTTGGGCTTGTAAGCTAAGCAGTAGTGTAGTTCAGCCTGTTTGATAAATGAACAAGTGTTTGGCACTTTGCATTTACTTTGGCTTTGAGAGAATTCCTCTGCAGGGACTTCTTTGTGTGTCCAAGGGTGTGGTACTTCCACACACTTCACCACAAATCAGTCACATTTTAACCTTCCATCCATCTGTCATTACCTGCCAAGCCATGAACTGTTTTTTCAGTGTCATCTTTATACTGTTTAAATGAAGCACACACCTTCGGGAAAGGTTTTGTTGGGAAGGTGCATGGAACGCGACCATGTGCTTGGTGGAAAGGAAGGACCACAGCTGGATCAACAGGTACCCACGGCACGAAGCCCGAGGCCGGGGGCTGTGGGACGGAACCGTGGAGCTGCTGCAGGTTGTATGCCCCCCGACTCACTTTCCCAGTAGCTGCTTTTAATAAGGTCACAAATGGCTCCCCTGCCTTGTGCGCAATCAGGTACTGTCCTTCGTCTAACCTAAAGAATCAAATCAAATCACTGAGGGTGTGTTGCTTAGACTCCTGACAAATCTCTGGTTGACATGCTAAATGACTGGATCACAGGTGAATACAGAAAGGAGAAGGTGACACATAGTCTGAGAGTTGTTGAGTAACCGATTGTGTAATCCTCCAACACAAACATGCTAACGTCATATCTTTAGCTCGAGGCCATCAGACCAGACTGTACAATGTCATTATCCGAAACACAGCAAGAAATGTTCATTGCAAGATAATATCTGAAATAAAAAGAGGAAAATGAGAGAAGAGGAGCTCAGCACTAAATGTGTACAAACAAAACTAAGATGACAAAACCTACCTGGTTAGTTTTTTCAGTAGGTGGTGCAGGATATTAAGTGATTTGGATGGCCTGTGGATGGAACACAGATATCACCAAGTTACAGTCTGTCTACTTTGGTGGGGATGGAAACCTCAACACTGACTCAGATAACAAAAACAGAGGCGACGATAGATACCACTGTTGAAAAGATCAGGATTATTGATTAACTGAGTGAATCTGGCAACCATAAAAAAAGGATGAGGTTCATCCAGATCGTCTGTAGTGATGAAACTCACGTGAGCCCACAGGAGATGTTCTGTTTCCAGTCGTCAGGCAGCTTCCTCAACAGAGCTACTTTTGATGAGTGTGCATTGATGTGAGCTACAGAGAGGGAGGAACAAGAGATGCGCTGAGAGAAGGAGCTAATGAGCGTGCACATGGAGAGCTTCACCTCCTCATCAGTCACTCTCCTGGAGCTTACAAAGTAATTAGTCTGATGATTTGCCAGCGTTGGTACAAGCTTTGAGTGAGGGGAGTAAGAAACGCTCGCTGGTCCTGTCTGTGCTGCTGCCTCCTACTCACAGCTTATAATTCAAAAAAGCCTTCCTTCAATTATAGACTATTTTAGAGCCTGCAAGACTGCACAGCCATAAATACACAACTGGGAAAAGCCACATGATAAAACACATGATGAACACAGAGCCACTGAATAAAGTCTTTTATCAGCCAAGAGTGCTGCCATCCAACTGTAGATAACCTATATTATTAAATACAGCAGTGTAGAATATCATCAGTTTTCTACCTGGCTTTTTTGATAGTGCTGTGACACTTTGTCCATTTTTTAGATTGAATGAACAAATGTTTTTTAAACATAAAAAGGAAAATCCAATCCTTGATGTGAGTTATTTCCATTTCTGACTGAGCTCCTCATCACAGCAGAATTAAAGGAGCCAGGAGATAAGCTTGTTCTTTCAAAGTGTGTACTGAGAGACAAAGGGCTATAATTTAGAGACCAAAGACTACGACAGGAAAAAAAAAAAACTTTCCTATGCATCATCTACAGAAGTCAAAGCAGCTCACACAGTGAAGACAGCGGTGTCTCAGCCTGAGTCTTGAACTATGGGTGAGCAGCAGATCATAAATCAATGATAATCCATTAGGCAATTTAATCAAGGTTAAAAACAACATTTAGCTGAGCTCGACAACTGCATTCTTGGTAATTCCCCACAATCAGATGTGGCTTGTTGATATGGCAACAAAGTAAACTTAAACACCACTCAGTCGCAGCAGGATGGTGAGTCATCTGCAGAATATTCCATTGGTTTGTGGGAGGATATGCCTCGTGGACTCTACTGAACTCAGTGAGGGAAGGAGAAGAGAAAAATATTTTTTTTTGAGTCAAATTACTTTGACTTTTTTCTTAGCTTTTATGTTGAAAAATAAAAGGAATTACACTAGAACAAAGGATTTAGGAACATTTTGCATTGATTTCAAGTAAAGTAGTGGCAGTAATGTTAGTAAAAGTTTTACCTATGTATGAAACTGTGCTGGAGTGGAGCAATGTCTCAGTCCACAGCTGGGAAGCCTCGCTGCTGGTTAAACACTCGACACCATAACTCAACTGGTACTCCAGCTTGGGCAAGACGTGCACTGGTACATACTAGTGGAACAGAAAGCAGAGGAAAGATATCGGACGGTTGGATGTATTGATTTTATACACAAATATGAAACTATAGCGGATTTCAGACATGCAGTGAGGAGATTCTCCGGAGAGGTTGTACATCAGAATGCAAATGTGCATGTCAGTTCATGAGGACATTTTTCCTGCAAGCCCCCTTGGAAAACCTCTGGATAATTTCTGAGTGAGTCATATGAGGATACAGGAGGAGATTATCTAGAGGTTTCACCACCAGTGAGTGGGATTGATGAGGTTTCTAACAAACAACGAATGAAGCAAAACTGAAAAAAAAAAGGAATAAACATTTCTCAGGACGAAAAAGACGTGTCACACACGTAGAAGATGAAGATGTTATCTTAGAAAGACAGCGAGATTCGAGAGCTTTTGGCGATGAGGGCTGACACCAGTGTTACTGCAGACAGAATTTATAAGTAATGTCCCGCCTCCTGCCCCACCCTTCGTTTGAACAAGATTTCTGTGCTGTTGTGAACGTGTCTGCATTCTTAATGTGTGACAGACAAACTCCAGAGAACGTTCGGATCCCAAAGTGCAGACATTCTCCAGAGTTTGCTGAAATTCTGGAGGACGGGTGTAAAATGTGTACCTGGTTTTGGCTGCCGACTTTTCTTGAATGAGTCAGTGAGACAGAGCTGCGGACCATGAGCAGCAGGTCTTGCAGACTATAGAGCTTGTAGAGCAGGTTTCCCTCCTCTGGAGCTTTGTAGTCTTGTTCATCTTCTGCACCAGCCTGCAGGTCTTGTGACAGTATTTCTGCATGGGGGGGCAATAATGTACAGTATGTTAACTAAGGACACAGACACAACTTGAATCCACACAATGAAAATCGATTTGACACTAACTTTTGTGCTCTGTCGTGTTGATGTTAACCACCGGTGCAGATTTGTGTGGAACGGAGCAGGTCTCTCCGTCCTGGTTTCTCTCCAAGTATGAGGTCACGCAGGGTTTAACCAGAGACGTTGGATTGGAGTGACTTGGGGGTCCCATGCATGGGGAGGGTGAGGTGGTCTCCAGGGGCACAGTGGAGCATTTGCCTGCTGTGTTGAACATTGCTGTCTGCATGCGTAGGATCTCTCCCAGCTGGTCGCCAGCCTTAGCTCTTTTTGATTGTCGCGTCTGCCTTGTGACTTTCTCAGGGGAAGATGACTGCGGTGACTGTACAGGGAGGGTCTCAGAGGCTGGGGTCACAGGAGGGTCAGAGGAGCATGGTGAGGTCTTAAGCTTAGGTTGTGTTGAAGGTTTTGCAGCTGGAGACAAATCATCAATGACCAGCTTCTCATCATCAGAGTCTCCTGTAGAAGCTACGTCTCGGTCACTTATCTGTGCAGAGTCGTACCTCAGCTGTTCAGTCTTTGGTTCACAGGTCTCACTCTGAAGCGGCTGAGCTGCCTCCTTCGTCATGGGATCATCCATAACAGTCAACGAGGTGTTCAGCTCCTCTAGTGAACTGCTGCTCTTGTTTGCAGGATTCTTCTTACTTATAGGTTTGACACTTGTAGCTTTTATACCTTTAACACCTGCATGCTGCTCAGTCTGTACTTTCTGCATCTTGGAGGCTTTAACGGTTGCCGTCTCCCCGAATGTCTCCAGGTCAGTGAGGTCTACCTCAAAATCAAGACTCTCATTTTCAAAAGACACTAAACTTCTTTGTGAGTTCTCCTGATTTAGAAACAGAAAAAACATTTCTCGAATGATGTAAAAGCACATAACATATTTTATGATACCTAATTGTGAGTCAACATACCGGAGTGAGTTGCTGTTCACTGTCTGGAAGCTCT